AAGGCTTTTGAAGATACTTTTGTAACCCTTTCCAGCTTCATGCAAGTCAACAATTCTTGATCGTAGGTCTTCTGAGAGCTCTTTTCTGCGAGGCATGGTTCACATCAGACAGTGCTTCTTGAAACCAGTAAACCCAAAACAGGTGTGTGTTTTTTAAGGGCAGGACAGCTGTCAGCAACACATCCAATATCATCACACTGATTGGAGTCATGGTTGGCTCACTCCTGGCTCCAATTAGCTCTGGGAGAAGTCATTAAGCTAGGGCCTCACATACTTTTTCCTCCCTGCACTGTGAATGTTTACATGTTATGTGCAATTAAACCATGGTAACATCTAATGTTTGTGTAGTATTATGTTCAGCAGACTGTGTTCTTCTATTGTTGTGACTTAGATGACGTTCAGAGCACATTTTATGCCCAATTCATGCAAAACTCCACGTAATCCCAAGGGGTTCACATACTTTTTCTTGCAGCTGTACATTTGAAATTACTAAATCAAAACTGGTGTGTATGTGATATAAAAGGAGTGTGCATGATATATTAAAATATGAATTTTCATATTTCAGAGGGGAATGTAATAATAATTTTTAATATCTAAATTTTAATTTGGTCTCTAGTAAGTTCTGATATATGCCTGGCAGGATAAATATACCCTCTAATCCGATGTGAATGGAAGGTTTGGAATTGAGTAGTAACATATATGAATTATTGGTGTCTGGGTTGGATAATTACAAAAGGCTTAGTCTAGGTTTATATTTTCTTTAGAATAGCCTATGTAAAGTATACTTTGTTTTGATTTCATATAATGAGTCTGAGAGTTTAAATTGTATTCATAAATCATGTATTCAGACAGTTGTAACATAAGAACTCCAGCTTGTTCCCCCTCTTGAATGTCTGTCAGTCATGTTAATTAGCCTAGCTGAGATTGAATAGAAACACATGTGTTACTAGCTGGATACACTGGGAGGTGACTAGGGGAGTGGTTAATGAGCCCACGAATTTGAAACAAAGGATTGTGGTAGGGATTGGTTCCTTGTGCATTTTAAGTATGTTAGCCCATTCAAATAACAGTCACTTCTCTTCACTTCACTTCATTCAGACATACATACACTTCAGACACTTACACAAAGCACATGGTCACTTCTTAGAGCACATGGTCTAGCCCAAGCTCCTTACTAAGAGAACAAAGGAACTGCACATGGCATGCTGAACAAAGAAACTACATTTTCTTCTTATATTCAAGGAACGAACAACTTATATTCTTTATTTTTATTTTAAGCTACATATCTTTTTGTATTTGAATTTGCTACTTTTGTATTGACTTTGTATCTTTTTAGTGTGTGATCAAATAAAGTCACACAAGTGCTTTTTCCTAACTGGCTTAGAAAAGGATTTCTTCCCACAATCACCTAAAAATACAGGAATACTAATAGAGTTTTTTCACAACTCTATAATTCCAACATTATTGGCGAGACAGCCATTTTCAATTTTTTTCCAAGCTATTTGTGTTGTAAATAAGGCAGTAAAACAGAGTACAAACATGCATGATACTATTGAATCCAATTGTACAAACTGTGAAACTTTTTGTAACTATATTGAACATCTTGAGCAAGAAATTGAATCTCAAAATGTTGCAATATCAAGAAACACGCAAATAGCTGTGTTGTCTAAAAAAAAAAAAAACAATCAGATAATGCACAGGCCTTATATATTCCAGATTCACGCAGTGGTACACATGAAGAGAGTAGTGAGGCTAACGTTCAAAGGCAGAAGTTACTTGCCAGGGCATCCAAGCTGAAATTACAGATTCAGGATCAGTTAATGAAAATATTGAAGGATATACCAGCATATGATATGAAAGAAAATTCTTTCCATAATTCAGATATCTTTGAGAATTTTTGTGATAGTTTCTAATTAAATAATGATCAAAGAAATCGTATTTTTGGATTATGGATCCCAAGTTTTATGGCTCGTAGATTAACCAAGACGCCATATATGGATGAGGATGAAATGGAAGTTCATAGCAATGCAACAGACCAAATACGTCAGTCATTGCTGTTCACTACTGGAGAGGAGACACCTAGTTTGGAAATTTTAGACTCCTTAACCTCCCTGGCGGTATGATTATTTCAGATTTTTGGTGCTGAAAGCGGTACCATTTTTCCAACATTCTGACACTGGGGGGAACTGATTGGTGTCACTGACATCCCCAGTGACACCAATACAGTGATCAGTGCTAATAAAAAACACTGACACTGTACTAATGGCACTGGGTAGGAAGGGGTTAACATGAGGGGCGATCAAAAGGGTTAACTGTGTGCTGGGTGTGTTTTACTATGGGGCCATGTGTTTGTGTTTCACTATAAGCACGCTGCTTTGTATGGCTGTGCCATGCAAAGCAGTGTGCACAAGCTCACAGGGAGGAGAACTGTTTTATTTACAAACAGTTCTCCTCTCTGTCAGAGATCCTTGGCAATCCTTGGCAGACCCGGTGATTGACAGCCACTGCCACAAATAGCAGTGCAGGTAGGGCGCACGTGCCCCCTACCCGGAAATGCAAAAGCAGGTGTATAGATGTGTTTTTGTGCACCCGTGCTGCCCTGTAGCAGTATTTCTGTTATACGGGGGACGGAAGAGGTTAAAGTAATTTCTTCTTTTTAATAATGTGTGAATAAAATATTACATATTACATATATATAATACAAAATGTTTTTTCTAGGTAGGTTATCTTTCTTATATCCAAGATAAAGGTCCTGAGGAAGCAACAAAGGTGAAACACGTTGACCTCTTGGCAGGGGCGGGCTGACAACTCATGGGGCCTCCAGGCAATAGGGGATCATGGGACCCCTGTGTCCTTGCCCACACTCAAAGCACACCCAAAAAAGCCTATAAAAAGTTTGACGGTAAATTTTCTGCTCTCCTGTAAATGTCAGATAGGGGTGTAATATATCAGACGACTTGAATTAAAGTGACCGGTCTGAATATATGCCTGGTTTTTCTGTAAGTCTCTTATATTCCAAGATACGTAATCATAGGGAAAAGTGGATTTTTGAATGTGAGTCTGCTTTATGTGTTATCTGGAATGTCTTTGGAGCTCACTGAAGGACTGGTTTATGGTTTTTCGATCCTTTTTTTCCAAGCAGAGTCTCACAGACATATGGGGGCCAGGCTGATTGGGGTTTATAGCCATGAGCTCTCCTGCTGGGCCTTGATGCCTTTTTGAACTCAGCATCCAGGGACCACGTGTCACTCAACAGAAAGGGAAGGGGGATGAGGGAAGCTCATTTGAGAGTAGATAATGATAGAATATGGAGGCCTTTGCCAAAATGGAGGTTTGCATCCATCTCTGTGTGCACGATTGCTACAAAGGTACCAGGGGCATTTCGACCCCCTACTGACCCCGGGCCCTCGGGCAGTGCCCGAGTGCTCAAATGGTCAGTCCGCCCCTGCAGCTTGGGTTTGTTCTTCACATACAAGTCATGCAGAGAGGACATTTGAAGGATATATGTTTGTGTACAGTATATACAATCGTGAGAGATGTGACATCATGTTTGGAATGTTTTCTGGATCTTATCATTTGTATGTTTTAATAATGTAATAAAATGGAATCAAGTTTTTTATATGTTGTGTCTTCCCTGATAGCAGAAAAGCCTGTGTTTTATCTTTTTTGGTTATCAACGTTAGAAGTTCATATAAATGGATAGGAAGAGTGGTGGAAGTAAAGAATATTAGTCCTGTCACAAGGGAAAATCGTGATGGAAACAGTTTTTTACTTGACTAATTGTTACTTGCTTTACATAGTGGCCTGAAGACCCCATCTAAGGGTTCCCACAAACTTGAGATTGTTCCTAATTTAATAAAAAAATTATTATTTGTGCAAGTTAATGTAAATCAGTCCAGTTAGAAACAAAGCTTTCTAGACTGCAATTACATTTTGAAAGAGCAGAAGTGTACTTAAAGTGAAGTTCCAGTGAAAAGGTAAAAAATTAAAAGTCAGCAGCTACAAAAACTGTAGCTGCTGACATTTAAAAACCAGCCACTCACCCATCCTTTGATCCCGCGGTGTCCAGCCCAATTCACCAGACGTCCTGTGTTCCTGGAGCTGACATCTTCAGTGTGGGCTCCAAGCTGTGACAGCTTGCGGCTTCACAGCTGGGTGGCCACTGCGCAGCGTGAGTAGTGCTGCGCTTTTTGAATGGTGCTGTAGTCTTCTGGTCACGTGTCCCAGAAGACTACGGGAAGGGAGGGGGGAGGACACTTCCACCTCTGATCACATTTCTGATCACTTAGGCGATTGCAGTGGAAGTGGGAGTGAGTATCTGTCAATTTCGGATACTCACTCTCCCCTCTAACCAAAGGTGCCAATCTTTAACGGGGAGCAGTCTGTAAAGCAGACCTTCCCCTTTTGGGTGGAGCACCATTTTAAATAGGTATGTTTCTCAGTAGAAAATCTATGTTCACAGAATATACTTTAATTTTATAACATTAGCATTATAATAGCATTACAAACAATAGATATTAACCACTTGCCTACCAGGCACTTATACCCCCCTTATTTTTGCCAGGCCAATTTTCAGCTTTCAGCGCTGCCGCACTTTGATTGACAATTGCACGGTCATGCAACATTGTACCCATATGAAATTTTGATCATTTTTTCCTCACAAATAGAGCTTTCTTTTGGTGGTATTTAATCACCACTGGGCGCTTTACTTTTTGCGCTATAAATAAAAAAGTGCAAAAAATTTGAAAAAAAAAAAAGTTTCTTTGTTTCTATTATAAAATTTTTCAAACAGGCATTTTTTCTCCTTCACTGATGTGCGTTGATGAGGCAGCACTGATGGGCACTGATGGGCACTGATAGGCGGCACTGATGGGCACTGATAGGCAGCACTAAAGGGCACTGATAGGCAGTACTAATGAGGTGTCACGGATAGGCGGCACTAATATGCAGCACTGATAGGCGGCACTGATAGGTGACACTGATGATGGGTACTGATAGACGGCACTGACTGGCATCACTGCTGGGCACTGACTGGCAGCACTGACTGGCACAACCCCTGGGCACTGACTGGTGGCACTGACTGGCAGCACTGCTGGGCTGCACTGGTGGGTGGCACTGGTGGGCAGCACTGGTGGGTGGGCACAGGTGGGTGGCATTGGTGGGCACAGGTGGGTGGGCACAGGTGGGTGACACTGCTGGGCACATGTAGGTGGCACTTCTGGGCACAGGTAGGTGGCACTGCAGAGTGGCACAGGTGGGTGCACTGCTGGGCACAGGTGGGTGATCTGCTGGGCACAGGTGGGCAGAGCTAGTGGGCGCACTGCTGGGCACAGGTGGGCGGAACTTGCGGGTGGCACTGCTGGACACCGATCATCAGGGCACTGATCATAAGTGCCCTGATGATCGGTGCCGATCCCCGCTCTGACAACTGCCGGTTCTCGGCAGTACTTTCCTCACGATCTGACAGCGTGAGGAAAGTGCAGCCGAGAACCGGCACTTGCATTTCCCTCTGATCAGCGTGTCATTGGACACCGCTGATCAGGTGGTAAAAGGCCGCTGTGATTGGCCTTTTACCACATCACGTGATCAGCTGTGTCCGTAGGACACAGCGATCACGGAGATCGCCGGGTGCGCGCCCCCTGGGGCGCGCAGGAGAGCGCATTCTGGGGGACGTCATATGACGTCCACTCAGAACTGGCCGGCCGCAGTGAAGCCGTCATTCGGCTATCTGCAGTCGGCAGGTAGTTAATGGCAATTCAATATAAGCTTGCATGAAAACTCTCCTTTGTTGTGAGCGCTGCAAGTCTGTTGGCCATCTCTTTCCACATCTTCCTGGATCCCTTGCATGTATTGTGCTTCCCCTCAGCTGTTTACTTTCAGTTTCCAAGGACTTCATATCCCATGGTGCTTTGCTGTCTGCAAGCAGGGAATCCTGCACTTTCAGCTGAAACGCCTTCTCTCAACACATCAGTAGTTCAAAAGGCCGGTTCTGTGGATTCTGTGAGTAGGCTATAATTAATTGAAATACAATGGGAAAGTGAATATATAATTTTGCATGTTGACCATAAATACGCTTTAAGGAGATGTAAGATAGCAATCAAGTGATATTACAATTAATCCCTTCCCACTAACACTTCCTGGCCCTTTAAGAGCTATTAAATGCCAGGAGGCAGAGGCAGGCATTTGGGTCATGTGACTGCTGTGATTGGCTGTCACAACAGTCACATGATTGGAAAGCTCCCAATCGCTTGTGTGCATCAAGAGCTTTTCCGGTGTCTGTGCTGGGAGAGCACAGGGTGTGCACTCTCAGCACAGAGAAGTGTCTACACAGGGCCGAATATACACATCCTCTTGGCGTTAAAGCCCATCTGCCGAGAGGCCACATATAATGTGCTACGTTGGTGGGAAGAGGTTCAAGGATGGATTTAGGCAACAAGTGAAACCAATTGTGAGCCAAGATGCTGCAAATGACTATCACAAAATTAATATCAATCTGTAATCTGTGTTCTCTGTAATCCACTGCATCTACAACACAGAGATCACCTGACAACAGGAGATGAGCAGTAAATATCGTTATCGGCAAAAAAGAAATTTTTTCAACTCACATTTTGGTTTAACACCTTCATCCCCGATTACGTTTTTTGAATGTATAAGCTGTGACCAGGGGCGGACTGACCATTTGGAAACTCGGGCACTGCTCGAGGGCCCGGGGTCAGTAGGGGGCCCCATGAGATACCCCTGGTACCTTTTTCATAGGCTTTTTTGAGTTTGGGCTAGGACGCAGGGGCCCCATGATCCCCTATTGCCCGGGGGCCCCATGAGTTGTCAGTCAGCCCCTGACCATGACTCTCCTAAGGGTAGGGGGCTTATCTCAGATTTGTACCATTTTTTTTGGCAACTACCTTTCCTTCACCCCCTTTATATAGACAGAAATGGGAAGCTGATACTGGTGTCACCTTCTCAGTAGAGAACTGGGACTCCTTGGTGGATAACATACGTAAGAGCTCTAGATCTCTTTCTGTTTTTAAAGTATTAACCCGCTGGTGTTATACCTCCTCCTACTACACATCATGTTCCCAGCAGGGGCGGACTGACAACTCATGGGACCCCCGGGCAATAGGGGATCATGGGGCCCCTGTGTCCTTGCCCAAACTCAAAAAAGCCTATGAAAAAGGTACCAGGGGCATCTCATGGGGCTCCCTACTGACCCCGGGCCCTCGGGCAGTACCCAAAATTCTGAATGGTCAGTCTGCCCCTGGTTCCCAGAGACATTCCATCTTTGCTTCCGGGGTTGTGGCCTAACTGGCACCCTTGTCCATACATTTTGGGCCTGTCCAGGCCTTTCATTGATATGGAGTAAGATCTCCGCAGTGGCCTCTGCTGTGGCTGATGCCCCGGTTCATTTGTCTATGCAGACTTGCCTACTGGTAGCACACATATCCCAGGAATACGGACTGTGGTGTCAAGGTATTGCCCCCCCGACGTGACAGTAGGGGGTATATGGTCAGCAATTGGTAGTTGCCTGTCTCCACTTTGATCCACCCAGCCCTCTCCCAGTGGTGGATGCCCCTTTAAGGGGATTTTCAATACAAGTTTTGGGACTGGGCAGATGTAACTGTCATGTTGGTGGCATTTCAGAACCCAGTTCTGTGCACGGACACCGCCTTGCACGTGCGTGACATTACTTCCATGGCACCGTGAGTATGTGGTGGCATCACCCTGCTAGTATAGATGCTGGCGGGTTTACCAGGTCAGTGAGCTGGCTCTTCCAGCCCACTTCAAGAACGCTGAAGGGGTCCTATGTTGGACGACATTTTGATGCACATTGCTGTCATATGGCAGGACCTACCAAACAATGAAATATTATGGCGCCAAATGATAGGTGTTTTTTATATTAACCCCCTAAAGGGGTTTTGTCAGCTGCTAAAAAGTGAATGTGACACTTACAAAGTGAATTAGTGATGAATAGGTAGGCGCTAGGTTCAAACAGGGTAAATAGCATAAGGTATAACATAGAACCCTATACTCCCCATATATTAATTGATGAATTGTGTGCATGAATAGTAATAATTAAATATCAGTAAGTACATATACCAAACAGAAATAAATATAAAGTGACTAAATATTCCCAATTTTATGAAATGTCCTTATGCTTCCACCAAGTGCTGCATGAATTCAAATTTTGACAGTCCTTCTTTGACTTCAAAATTTGGTGACATAGAAATCCATAACTCCACAACTCAGTGTAAAAGGCAAACAAATGCATCACTCACCAGACCTATATGACCCCCATAACAATAATCATATATTTAATTCTGTTTTATTAATCTCTGGAGGTTCCTCCCCGTATGATCACCAACACCCGCACTTCCAGGCTGGATAGCCAGAGGGACTGATGTATAGTTTTCAATAAATTCCCCAAATAGTAGTTGAAGGTATTCAAATAGATAATCCTGGCTTTCTATGCCATAATACTCAAAAAAACACAACAATAATAATGATCTAAGTGTAGTATTTAATATGCCAGAAATGAGAATAGTAACAAACTCAATGCACTCACATGCCTAGGAAGCCAGCACCAGCACGTATTGCCTGTGTAATTTAGATCAAAGATGGCCGATGTACACTCCAAGCCTCTGTCTCAGCCAGACGTGACGTCACCGGAGCCCGGATATGAGGGTATCACGTCTTCTTGATGTACATTTTGCCTGGTGGTGTCTTCAGGAAGTGATGTCCACCATGTCCAGGCTGACTATATATATATATATATATATATATAAAATACAACAAATGCAGAGAGTGTACAATCAAGTAAAAACTATTTATTTAAAATAAAAATGTAAAACCCATAAAATTAAATATTTCCTGAGACTCATCTTAAAGGGACAGGATATTTTCTATTAGAATATCTGAGATGACCTATACCAGATAGTCATGCTCCCGGGGATTATTATCTGAGATGTAGTCAGATAAGGGGAATGGGCTAAGTGACATTAATGCCTAAATTGACTCAAAGAAGGTAGCCCCTCAAGCTGGGAGGCCACCCCATTTGTTTAAAGGAGTAGGAAATGAGAGGCTCTAATCACCCATATTATTTGGAGGGGAAATTTGGTTCCTACTTTAAATAAAAGAATGTATTCTGTGACTTCTCTAGGCTATTACAGCAGAGGTATATGTATAGGATAAGGGGTGTGCTAGAAGGCATAGAAGCCTATATGGGCTAAGTGTTCTCTCATCTGGAATTCCCCTGAGTGGGGTCAGAAAATAAAATTTAAAAAAATTTATTTTTGGAATCACCACTATATGTTAAAAACACATAGGAGTAAGGGCTGACAGAGAAACGCAGTTTCTGTAAGTATATTTTAATCCAATGTGTTTTACAACAACGATTAGCATGTTTTATCCCAAATACTATGTGTACAGTGGCCAGTGTCAATAATTGGTAAGAAACCAGTTGAGATCAATATCTCTATTTAGACCTTTTGGGTCAAGGGTATGTAATCTATGTATCCACTGGGTTTTCATTTGGGAGACCTTGATAGTCATATCTGTGCCCCTCCAATGTTTGGATACCCTATCAATCCCCCAGAATTGTAACACACTGGGATCTTTATTGTGCTTTAATCAAATTTTTTAATGTTGTTGCTCACCTATCCGCGTAGAAAACTTTCTGGTGATTCTGCCAATATATTGTAAATTGCAAGGACATGTTAATAAATGTGTCACATAAAGGGTGTCACATGTGATAAACTTATTTTAGCAAACAGACATGCAGAGGGCAAGTGGGTCACATGCTGCCCGCTTTTAGCAGAAGATGCGGACCCACTGGGGGTGATACAGCTGTCTGACATTTTCTGCGCGGCAACACAAAAAAATTAATGTCAGCACCCCCAGTGAGTCCACACCCAGTGCATGCCACTGACCAGCAGAATCATAGAAAAATAAATCCTTTTAGTACACAATTCTACCACTGATCAGAATAGGATAAAGTGCTCCATGCACTAGGTCCCCTGGGGGATTCCATAAAAAATTCTAATTTGTAGTGATAATTCTTCTTTATTATTGCTTTTTTAAACTGCTACCTTCCATCTTTCTTAGTTGTTCTAAGCCTCCTTACCTTCTACCTGTGAGAGAAACTGAAAGCAGAGAGAAGTGACACAAAGGAAGATGCAGTAATGGCGCTTTAGAGTTCTGCTGCTATACCTGCAAAAAAACGGCTGGAACACATACTGTATAAATGCAGCCCAGTGTTCTTATGTGTTTTCCATGTATGGTCATCTAAAGTGGCCAGCCCAAAGCAAAAATTCATAAACTTGAAAAAACGTGGCCCAAAAATTTAGTTTATTTTAAGTTTTATTGTGG